GTTACAAGGAGGCACCAAGTAGATATGCGACACATAAATCATTCGATTTATGTGAGGGCTGTGATACTACCTGGGTGCTCAGGCTGAAGTAGATGGTTTTCTTAGGGAACCATATCCCGAGCCTTTGACCTAAAGGTTTAATCTACAAGGCACTAATGCAACGTTAGGAGATGCAATCCCATGGTAGCCGGTGACCAACTCTCGGTTCATACGCTATTTTTTCCTTGAGGGTCTTTGAACCCATATGAAACATTAGTTTGGAAACAGAATTTTCTAAGTCCCCTTAGGTGGACCCTCCATATCCACCAACTTGGTTAAAGCGACGAACATTCGCTTCTCGAATTTTGTACAAAAGTCCGATATTAGTATGTTGAATCTGATTAGTTCAACATTCTAAACAAATTTGTTCAGTACAATTGGGATTTCAAATGATATTGTAATGAACGAGAACACAAGTGGGGGATAATCGAATGTATTTGAACACCAAACTTACAGAACGTCATAGTAAAATCTAAGAACCATACAATAAATACTTTATTTATAGAGTATCAGTCAATCGTCTCAAATTTGATTGTTCCTTTGTTTCCACAGCAATCATTCTTCAATCTTCTTAATCTTCTCCTATCGAATATTTCACTTTCTATTAATAACATATACTACTTATATATCTATTTATTTATTTTAACACATAGATACTGGTGCAAGAAGGCACCAAATATATATGCGCCACACAAGTCTCATTTGATATGTGTGAGGGCTGTGATACTGCCCGGGTGCCCGAACCTAAGCAGGTGGTTTTCTTAGGGAGCCACACCCGGAGCTTTCGACCTGAAGGTCTGATCTACAAGACAGTGGAACATCGTAAGGAGATGTAGTCCCATGGAAGCCGGTGACCAACGATTGGTTCATACGCCATTTGTTCCGTCAGGATACTGGAGCCAGCACATGTGCACCATTGGTTTGGAATCCGGTTAAAACGCCGGACATTCGCTTTTCGCCCTCTCATTTTTGTAAACAACACCCCCGCCACGAGAAGGCAGTGAGTAGGACTTCCCTGACAGAGGCTATATACGCGAGGCCGTGTGAGAGCATTTCGAGAGGGAGAGCTGACTCTCCCTACTCTCGGCCGTACCAGGGTATTCACTTATATATCTATCGACATCAGTAGTAGCGCATACATCACAATATCAATTGGTGATAAAAAGTTATACTCTAAACTATATTTTACTTTCATAATGATGGATATATATATACACACACAAAGAATTATTCGTTTCAACTTCTTCCCTTGTTTTTTTCTTCTTTCTTTTCATTGAAATATATCTATAGTCATTTATATAATGCACCAATTTATCAAATGGATAAAAATGATAAAACATTCGAATTATCAAAGTTAAAACCAATTGGATGGATTAGAAATATAAATATGAATAATTTTATTATGATTAATAACAATGATCATTGTTTAAATATTGATAATGGATTAATCAGTGGTATAGCATTGATACGTTTAACTGATGTAAATGAACAACAATATAAACTAGTAGTAAATATCCCGATTCCTACTGATTGTGATCATAATAATAATAATAATAATAATAATACTAATAATGTAATACAATTAGATATTATTCCATATATACCATCATGGTGGCCTGAGAATATAGCGCCAACAATTAAACGAATTGCATCTACATAAATCAGTTTTGTTTCCTTATTATATTAGATGTGATATAATTTTATTTTTAAATATAAAAACAAACTATATTATGATGTTTTTGTTTAATTAATCACTGATGGTAGTAAGAAATTAGTTGACTGATGATGATTGACTATAATTTCTGAATGAATCAATCAGATATAAGTCTCAGATTTTGGGCACGAAATTCATTCATCCATTTGGTTAAATCGAGTTTTGGCATTATAGCTAATGTCAATTTGTGATGGAAAAAAAACCCCTTAAATCTAATTCCTAACTCCTAACTATCAATTATAAATCATAATTCTAATTCCTCATAGTGGTTTATAACCCTTATTTGATCCTAGTTATTAGATGAACACTCTCAAGGTCAGCTTAGCGTCACTCATAAGTCGTTCATAAATTATAATCTCACTGATAACTTTCATGTTTGTTGTAACATTATTCACCAAAATGGAAGATATCTCTAATAGGAAAATTCGTTATCTTTGAATTAAGCTACATTTTTTTGTAATTATTGTTACTGGGTAGACCTTAAAATAAATGTATATTAGGCTCAAGTTGACATACTTTACTTGACATCGACTGAGAACTAATGTAGTATGCCTGTAGTGAACGAGAACATAAGTGTGGATAATCGAATATACTAGAACACAACATTACAGCACATCTTTGTAAAATCTGAGAATTATACAGTGAATACATGCATACTCCACCATCTCATCTACTAACATGGCTCAGACTAGAAGTTAGTGACTTGAAGGACTGATGCGACGTTTTGGTTTGACCGCCCCTAACTTCCAACTATCCCCAACACTAGTCAGTATTGTGCGTCGTGATAATCGGTGTTCATGCATACGCGACACGTGGTCCAACCAATTCAGTCGATAAAGATTTACAACCTCATCAATTGATTTACCATCATTCTTTAATACCATGCGTCCAACCTCACTATTACTTACCCGGTGATCCCAGCAGACGTCAGCAATATTTCTAAGGCATCTATAGTCAATTACTAGTAGCTAACGAGTACCTCCTACATTTAACGGCCATGTTTCACAGCGCTAAAGTAGAACAGAACGAACTACTCAGTATATTCATCTTCTTATTGATAGACCGTTATCTCGCGGATTCCATAGTGTGAAGTGCGTTAAAATTCAACATGCTTTTAAGATAAGTGATTTGTATATAATCCAGATAAAAATGGTTTCTTGGTCATCATTCATCAAACTGTACATTTCAATTATAAAAGTTTTATTATGTTTTGGAATTTAGTCACACTTGTTCTAAGCGGTACAATAATCTGAATATCTGTGATCAATTGAATAAAATGAGATTAAAACTCATTGTGTAAAGCTTGTGAATAAAGTGCTCAAATCGTTGATTAACTTCACCATAGTCAATCACTTCGATTAACGTAGAGTTTGACGCAAGTATTCGTTGGCGCAGATCGTCATACATACAACATTAGTATGAAGAGATGAATTTAATAAAATGAATAAGAGAAAGGAGATCAAAATAGTATAGTATTAATAATAATAATTTAGGAGACTAAAAATTGGCAATATGTTCGAAAAACAACATTAAAGTACATATGAAGGAGTAATAGAATTCAAGATTGAGAGGAAAATCAAGTGTGATAACAGTAGAGCTGAAGGTCTCATATGAGATTGGAGGTTTGCTATTGATATTGTGGATGGTTCGGTATTACTTTGGCAAGTTTTGCTAACTGTTCATGCACATAATTGGTTTGTTGGTTAACCGATTTCATTCATACTGCTGGTGGTTGCTTTTCAGTGTTCCCGAGGGCCATTGTCATTGGGACATTGCAAGGCATGTCGCCATTTCTAACATTAATGAGTTTGACTGTCGTGTAAGCGAAATAGGTCAACTTCGACCTGTTCTTGCTGTGCATAGTTGATTCACATGATCATTGATCGGAATAATCATACATGTGATGTGAATGTTTATATGAATGGTGCGAATGGTCCACCAGGGTGCTTGGTACCTGTTTCGTTGCGTCACAGGATTAATCTGTACTATTTAGGTTGTGGCGTTAAAGCCTATATCGTGTCTGGTTCTCCTGTGAAGCGGGATTGAGCTGTACTGCTTGGGTTATAAAGTTTAAGCCTGGACCGTATCTGACTCTCCTGTTGAAAGGGATTGAGTTGTACTGTTTGGGTTGACACGTGAAAGTCCGATTGTACTGAAAACCAATGTAAAATTACCCTGGCCTACAAGGGCATATTATATATAACTAACTCTTAAAAAAATAAGTGTTTGCAAATGAAACGAGTGTTTGAAGTTGAAAGAAATCGATTCAAGGTAGAAATGAAAATCAAGAGACCTTTAATTTACCTGTCTATTATTCTACCAACTAACCTTAGCACTAGTCTAATACAATTTATGTTGAGATCATCAAACTAAGTAACTATTGTGGTTAGTTAAGTATTCTTCATTAATATAAAAAAACACTCAGTGATCAAGGCAGAATTGAAACTTAGTTGCTAAACTTACTTTGAGTGTTATTCAATAGAATGCCTTGTTGGCAACCCGTAACTGCTATTAGGATCTTATATCTCAGCTTCCTTCCTAACTTAATTCAATAACCTATATCAATAAAGGGTCTTACCGATTCAAGCTATTACGGAACCCCACTAATCATTTATATGTAAGTTAAAGTTCTCCGTTTATTTAAAAATATTTTGTTTTGCTGAAAACGATACGTTACCTGTTACTTATATGGCAATGGGTTCCACTTAACTCGACAGTTTTCATCGACCAGATGTGTTGGGATTTAATACAAACTTCCTTATATGAATGAGGCTATTGTCCGATTTGAGCTTATCAATAGGTTCCTGTTTTCTTATCAACCCTGTCTTTTATTACTAGGTGGACAACAGAGTAAAAAAATTATGTATGTGAAGAAGGTAAGCTGTTAATTTTGTCCTAGTGAGATCTGCCATCTAACAAACTTAGGAACAAACAGTTGTTTTATTCAAAGAAGTAGGTTTTCCGATTGAAACTTGGATTTGAAATTTTCAATATGATGGGGATAAGCTTATAAGGTCACATTAGTCCGTTTCTATGAAACGCTCTAAATGTTGTTCTAGTCACAGACTGATAATGTACGAGTGAGGCGTGTTGAACTAAATGAAGTGTTTACAATTAGTTATATACCATTCAACGGTCAATAAGAAGTAAGTAAGTTTATCTTTGTTTTTTCTAGTCGTCAACTATACATATCAATAATGGATTGTGATGATACAAGTTATTAGAATTAGTCCTACTATAGATTTTTACGTTTTCCAAAAACACGCTTATTGTATATAAGAATATTCTATTTTTGTAAGAGACAACACTACCCAATACATTTCTAAATAGCTAGAAGGCAACACAATACTCTATAATCTGTTTACAACTCGAAAGAAGTATTTCTTCTTCGTGGACATTAATCACATAGGAATAGATCGTTGTCAATCTAAGCCTATAACCTGTAACATTCATCGCTCCATCATCAATATTATTACATAAGGTAAAACAACTAGATTTATATGGTATCAAACATAACTCTCTTTTTTCTCTCTTTTTAAATAATCAAATAAAAACGATATCTTTATAAATGTCAAATATGATATAATACAATGTGTAATTCATATGAATCAATGTTTGTTTTAACCTATTGACATATTACATAGAAGATTGTATAATTGTTATGAATTTGATAATATAATTGAAAGATTATGATGTTTAACTTGCCTGTTCATTAGATGTATTTGTATTGTACTTGTAATCTGTAGATAGAGTTCAAGAATTAAAAAAAGAAGCATTGAGATATTGAGAAATACAAGCAATATACATATACATACTTATGCATTACGTGATATATACCATTCAACATTCTAAACACATTTGTTTAGTACAATTGAGATTTTAAATGATATTGTAATGAACGAGAACACAAATGGGGGATAATCGAATGTATTTGAATATAAAATTACAAAATCTCTTAGTAGAATCTGTGAACTATACAGAAAAATGTTAATCAGTCGTCTTAGACTTGATTGTTCTTTCGTTTCCATACTAATCATTCTTTGTTATCATTCTCTTTCCTTTGATCTTAATCTTCTACCATTAGGTATTTCACTTTGGATTGACGATACATACTACACACATCTGTCAACATTAGTAACACATACCACAACATAATGAAGTTTCCGAACTACCTATTTGTAATTAGTTTATTCTGACGTTTCTTATCCATTTAAAATAATAGGTTACTTGTGTTTTTTGTTTTCGTAAAAATTTCAGTTGACCTATTTTCGTATTTTGCCTTATCAATAATAACAAATGTAGATATTATAATCAAAGACGGATAGTAGTTAGCAGTGGAATCCAGTTTGACGTGCGTTTCGTCCTATTTGGGACTCGTCGTCTGGATGTTCATGTATCTGAGGACTCATTAACTACGTGGATAACGCGATGGCATTTGAAGAGAACGGTAATGAGTTCGAGTCCTGGAGCGAAAATCAACTCTGAGATGCGGGTACGTCTAGCTGATGAGTCCCATATCGGACGAAACGCGTGTCAAACTGGATTTCACTGCTAGTCACTATCCATCTCTGCCTATAAAGCTTGTGACCTAAGGAAATATCGAGGCAGTCCGCACAGGATGCACATATGCCAATAAGATACTGATCAATTGTAGTCTTCAACATCAATCGGAAGATTCAAGTTAACAACAACAATTGAATTTGAGCCTAATATACTTTTACATCATAAATGATTTACGTAGCAATCGTTAATTTGATTATCAGTAAGAACTCATTTATTTATTTGAGCACATAAATATTGGTACAAAGGGAAACCGAATACATATGCGTCACACAAGTCACTTGATTTATGTGTGGACTGTGATACTGCCCAGACCGAAGCAGATGATTTTCTTAGGGGGCCATATTCGAAACCTTCAACCTAAAGGTCTGATCCACAAGGCAGTGGAGCAACATCAGGAGATGCAGTCCCATGTTAGTGGGTGACCAATAATTGGTTCATACTCTATTTGTTCTTTCAATATCCTGGAGCCCGTGTATACCATTTGTTTGGAATGAGGGTTTTCCATTTCCCATAGGTGTATCCTCCATATCCACTAACCCGGGTAAACGCCAGAAATTCGTTTTTCGTCCTCACAATCTCGTAAACATAATACTTCAAATAAGTATGATTTGATATCAATTAATGACAAGTATGATCTACAAATTAAAATAATCTCTACAAAACCTCTTCATCTAAAACTATGACAGCCATTCTTATTATTGATTTATTTCGATATGAGTTCATGAAGTTCCAATGGGAAGTCATAACTTATGGAGTTCAGATATTTCTGGAACGAAACAGCCTTTTTATTAATTGACTGTTATACTATATCGTGAATTGATTGAAGTTTGAAATGTGTATGTCTGTGGATGCCGACGCAGTGGGGGGATAATTGAATGTATTTAAACACTAACTTACAGAAATCTTACTAAAATCTGAGAACCATATAGTAAATACTTCATTTGCAAAAAATCAATCAACTGTCCCAAGCTTGACTGTTCTTTTTGCGAATATCAGTCTATCATCTCAGATTTCATTGTTCCTACATTTTTTGACCAATTACTTTCCTTTTCCTGTTCTTTCCATTTGTTATGCCCCGATAAGAATAATGAGTTGTAATTTTCGGGATCCATTTGTGGACCAGTACTATTCGTATATTTTACCGTATAATTATTAATTAACTAAACTATTCGTATCGATTAAATGTTTAAATATTTCTATGGCAGTCGATTGACTAACTCATCGATTAAATGTTTAAAAATACTTCCATGGCAATATCGATTGTATACATATAATTGATATATATATATATATATACGTTTTGAATTGCGTTTGTTGTGATCGCTCGTTTCTGGCTGTTTTGCAGAATATACTTCCCATTCCAAGCTTGGACTTCTCCCTCTAGTTAGCGGGCCTGGGACGCTTCAAATATCTAGCTTACTGGTCTTTGGTCACTGAGTCTTGTTCGCAGACTAAGTGAACTCGTGATAACTTCAAACCTAGCACCTTCTCGATCTTCTACTAAAATGCATTCTATTCCTGATTATCGTTATATACTACTTACACACACACCACATTCCTAACGTTTAAGCATTTGATTTAAAACTTGAAAAGCTTACGTTCTATCACTGGTTGTATCATGAATGAGCATTGCTAAGGAATTTCATAACGGAATACATGGTTTCCAATGATAACCTGAGGTCAGTTTATGATAAATATCACTCATATATACATGTGCGTTACTTAATGATCTTGATGGAATATTTTGTAACAGACTACATGGTTTACTGTAAGTCATTAAGTTTAACCTAATTGAAATCTGTAATACTGTGCTATGTTGATAAGCAAAAATCAATCACAAAAAAAATAACTTACCAGATATAATAACATCATCCAGTTCATGTATATTCTCTAAATGTCTATTCTCATTTAAATTGGATTGATTTTTTGTTATCATAGTAATTAATACTTCAGCTGCACGACTATTTCTATCCAATCTACCAGAAGATAACATATTATCAATAATAGATATACGATTTCTTATTATATCATTATTAGTATTATTACTGTCTGATTGAATGGATTGATTCTTATATTCATATTTATCAATGTTACTATTATGATCATCATTGTTATCATGAAAGATCAATTCATCTTTATATTTAGAATGATCATGATTTTGATCTGAATTAATATTATTGACTAAATGACACAATGTAGATATGTTGTTGTTATTTGTTTCTTGTGAATTAATATTCGTTAATGATGAACTATATATCGGTGAACTTGGAGTTGATGATGAAATGGTTATGTTATCTACGACTGAAGTTATTTCTTGTTGTGATTTACTTATAACATTCATTTGTTCTATATCTTGTATTGTATTTGTTAATTTATTAATAGATGATTGATTTATTGTTTGATTATAATCTTTAGAATGTAGTTTTATACGTGACATAATACCTTCTAAACGTTTTTTACGTGCTTCACGTTCAGCTAATTCAGCTGATAATGAAATAACTAATCTTCCAGATTGAGATAAATTAGTCGAATTAAATGGATGTACAATTTGAATAGGTTTTTCTCGAATATTGATCAAATTTGATTGACAGTTGTTCTATTATGTAAAAGGAATATTAGAAGGATACTTTAATTATCATGTAAAGAAAGAATATCACTAGATTTACTTGTCAACTGATGAAGCGCTCCCAAATGCCCTGGTACGGCTGAGAGTGGGAAGAGTTCGCTTTCCCTCTCCAAATGCTCTCACATGACCACGCGTATATAGCCTCTGCCAGGGAAGTCCTACTCACTAGACAAGCAAGACACTGATCACCACCCAGTGATCAATCAATAGTAACTACATCTCAGTCCTACAGGAGGTTAGTCACGGCTCGGATAGCTCAGTGGTAACGTCTCTGACTGTGAAGCTGGGTGACACGAGATCGAATCCGCCAAGGAGCACCAGTTCCCTAAGATTACAGGTACACCTTGCTGACGAGTGCACGAAACCCGGATCCAGGGTTTCCTGTTGACTACCTCCAACCACCATGTAAATCTCAATACATACCTAGACTGGTGGCCACATTGCAACATGATCGATAGCATTCGATCTGCACTAATAAGAACTAGACAAGCAAGACATTGATCACCACCCAGTGATCAATCAATTGTAATTACATGGAGAGTCTACCTAGGAGAGTTGGAAAACCCTGATTCCAAACCAATGGTGCACATGGGCTCCAGTATCCTGAGTGAACAAATGGCGTATGAACCAATCGTTGGTCACAGGCTACCATGGGAATACATCTCCTTACGTTGCTTCATCACCTTGTGGATCAGACCTTCGGGTCGAAGGCTCTGGGTGTGACCCCCTAAGAAAACCACCTGCTTAGGTTTGGGCACCCGGACAGTACCACGGCCTTCACACATATTAAGTGAGATTTGTGTGGCGCATATGTATTTGGTGCCTCCTTGTACCAATATCTACGTGTTAAAATAAATAAATAAATACAACTGATGAATTCTAAACTAATTCACAATTCAAGCGGTTTTGAATGTCTAATGATATACTTTATTTATACTTCTGATATTATTATGAAGATTCAGTGGTGGGACCATAATTTATAGACGACCTTTGAGCGACGCTAAAGTGACCTAATAACTAGGACCAAATGAAGGTTATAAACGAGTGTACGGAATTCGAACTATGATTTACAGTTGATGGTTAGAGGTTAGGAATTAGATTTAGAGTTTTCATCACGAACTGATATCAGTTATAAGGCCAAAACTCTATTTAACCAAATGGATGAGTGAATCTTGCGCCAAAATCCGAGACCTGTTATCTTATAATTGATTGGTTTTTCCATAAATTATAGTTTCACCGATCCAGTATTCTTGTAAAACTTTATATTATTCAATGTTGTATAGCAAATGGTTTCGTGTTTAATATAAAGTGTGACGCAGTAAAATACTAAAGAACTACAACAGTTATCGTTTCTAGTGTGGAATTCATGTACAGTCATACCTATTGTTTGAACAAACTTGGTTATTTGGAACCGTTCTGCTCAACCTGTTGCGTAACATTAACAAACAGACAAACAGATCCAAATAAACATGACTACTTATTACTAAAATAAGTATTGGATGGCAGATTTAGTGTTAGTGTAAAACTAGTTTTTTAAGGATTACATGTTTTTGGAGACAGTGATAGTTCAGAATATCGTTGCGTTGATCGATTACTTTCTTATATTCAAATTATTGAAACAATATTGAAAATGCCATTGGATTCTAAGGGAAAAAATGCTGCAATACATTTGTTGCTAAGCTGAAAAAAATCATTGTCGATATAACTGTGAAAACTGAAAAAACTGAAGTTTTATATATTAAACAGGTTGTAAATATTATCATCAACAGGGTTACTTACTAGAATGGAGTAGAATGCAATCTACCTCATTCATTTATTCAGTCAACCTAATCGCTAAAGCTAGATCACCTCCTTAAAGACCTCTGGAGCCAATCCATCTGAAGCAGCTGCCCTTCCTCGTTTCAGATTAACTACAGCCTTTTGAACTTCAGCTAGAGTCGGAGGATCTACTTCAATGTTCCATTCACACTGTCTGGGAATGGTGGGTAGTTGTAGAGTAGCTGAAAGCCAGCTGGACTGCTCCTCAAAATGTTCCACCCATCGTTCTAAACGTCTGGACCGGGAGCAGATGAGAGTGTCATATTTTTCCGAGATAGTCTCACTTACATTTGAATTATTAATTCCAGTTTCTTTTATTAATCTATAGAGCTGTCTTGTGTTAACTACAGCTGTCGCTTTTTCCATCTTTTTTGCCTTCGTTGCCCACCACTGCTTACGGTCGTTCCTTATACTTTTGCCTAATCTAAATCTGATTTGTTTTTGCTCTTCATCGTGTTCAGATCCTGATCCATAGGTGCAATAGACCTTGAAGAAATCCATTGGTTCTTTGTAATCCTTTGATTTAAATCAGTAACAGATGTCACTGCTGTTTCCACAGGTGCGTGTATGTCTTTTCAAGAAAAAACATTGCTTATTTTCAATGGTTTCTTTACTTAGATTTTCATATCTTACTAAACCTTTCAAAATAAGTGCTTTGTTTTAATATCAACTTTGTCAAACTTAAGTAGATTGAAAAAAATTCAACTTGTTTAAAGAATAAACTTAACTTTCTAAACAGTGATTTGGAAATAAATATTTATTCGTGGTACTTTAATAAGATTTATCTCACTAAAGTTGGAGATTGTTGGAAGAAAGTTAGGGGCGGCCGAACCAAAAGATGACATCAGTCCTTGAAGTAACTAACTACTTGGTTGAAGTCCATGTGACTATCGTAACCAATGGTTGGAGACTCTGGGTGACATGGATCAGAATCGATCATAATAGCGTCGGTGTATACACTCTTTGTCTTCCCTTAAACTATGAGATCAAAATCACCTTATATCTTTCTTTCTACGAACTGATTCTTTCTTGTCGTATTGTATCCTTAAATGTAATCTTTCTTTTATATATTGCTACCATTGAAGTAACTACCATGAAGATGTTCATCTTGTTCCTCCTCCTATGTTGTAACTGACTGACTGAGTGAGACTTATTTCATTTTCTTAAGACGAACTACTAAAGTACCAATTAGTAGGTATTACTGATTGTAATTTACGTTAGATTATTAGAATTCATGGAGTTTATCATGTGATCAGAATTATTAACGAGTGTTAGTAAATATGATACTAGTTTAAAGATTATGAAATATCAGTTAAACACTGAAATATTTCTTCGCTCAGTTATTGGTCAGTAGCTTAGTGGTTGAAGCATCAGATCTTAAACGTTAAGTACTAAGTTTGAATCCGGTTTCCTCTATTTCAGTTCAGGTAACCGGATAGTATCATTAACCCTCATACTTTGAGTGAAACTAATATTCCAGTACCTGATGAATGAGTTATTTACTTATTTCTTCATCTTATGATTATTTATTTGAACCTCCTTAATCAATAATTTGTTTCTATACCTCGATCTTTTATAATTGTTACCGTCATTGTGACTACATCATCGAGGTTTTGTGTAATCAGTCTTAAATTAATCATTTTATTGATGTTATTGACAATAATTTAAAGATATGCCTTGTAATTGAAAATATTCAACACCTTTGATTATTAGATTCCTTTCTAAACAGAATTTTTTTATCATTCTAAAACGTATTTACTACTATTTTTCATAAGTAAACTAAATTGATTTATGCATATTTACATGACTAAAATGAAAGAGGAAGAATTTCAATCAGTTGAAATAAAATAGAATGTCTGTTGGACGGATAACATCAGCAACAGTCTACTGTGGGAGAGGACAAACCAAATTTCAGCTAAAGAAGAAATTAGGAAAAGAAGATGGACGTAGATACGATACACGTTAAGGAAATCATAAAACTGCATCACAAGGCAAGCGCTAACTTGGAAGTCAGTCAGTCAAGAAGCTACAACGTAGGACCAGGTACATATATTCATAGGTCCAAATTGACACACCTCATTAGCACAACAAGATGAACACTGAATTCATAGAAGTAGTTACGTTAATGGTAATAATGTATAAAAGAGAAATTGTGTATAAGGATATAATGCAGAAAGAAAGAATTAGTTCGTAGAAGGAAAGGTATAAAGTAATTTCAATCGGATAGTTTAAGGGAATACAAAGAGTGTATACACCTACGTCATTGTGATCGATTCTGAGCCATGACACACACACAGTCTTTAATCATTGATTACGATAGTCGCACGACCCCAGCCAGGTAGTCTGCATCTACGATCATGGCTTAGACCGGAAGTTAGTGACTTCAAGGACTGAAGGGAAACGAACAAATGAAAGACCAAAGAACACACTACATTGAGAATTTGAACCGAACGTGAAAAGTTTGAATAACAACTGGAAAGGTTACCTGAGGACAGCGTTGGATGGAGAATACCAGTAAGCGATCTATGCTCCTTCATAAGAAGAGGTAACAGATGTAAGTAAGTAAGTAAATCTAGAATGAATTTTTTATACTTCACTGAATCCTATATTGTATACTACATGATTAAGTCTATTACCTATGTTAATTAAACAGAATAAGTTCTAAAATACATTACCTTTATTTGTGTTTCATTATCATTATTGTTCGTCACTTTTGGTTGTTCAGTAATTATAGATTTATCTAGTTTATTGAGTATTGATTCTGTTGTCATATTTACAATTTGTTTATTGGAATCTATAATATTCATAGTTAGATGATCAAACTGTAGTGTTTTAGGTATTGTCAATGAATTATCAGTAAATGAAGTTTTTGTTGAAGTAATAGTTGCAGGTGAAATTTGCATTATAGAAGTTGTAACAGCAAGAGTATCTATTACGGTTCCAGGAATTGTTGTTGTATTTGATAACAGTGAAAATGATGATGCTGTTGATAGTGATGAAGTTAAAGATAAGGTAGAAGATTCAATTCCAACAGTAGATGTTATACTTAGTGATTCCATTTGCTGTTTTATAACTTTAGCTTCATTTGGATCTGTTTTCATAAATAATTCATCTGTTGTTTTTAATGAAGATTGTGTTATTTTCGAAAGGTTTTCATCTGTTATTTCCTTAAGGATTTCTTCAATAATTAAGTTTGCTATTTTGTGATGATCTTTGAATACAGGAGAAGAATTCGAACTTCATGAGTAAGAAGAATAGAACACAATTGATATTATTAAATAATTATAACTTTCATTATAGATAAAATAATTCTGTGTTTTACAGTTTACAACTACTGAAAATCAGGGAGTGTTAGATATCTGCTTTTTGATATTGAGAATCTTCAACATTTCACATCGATGACTTCATATGAGATGGAACTAAGTACCATCATGTCCAGAACCATGGTCAACAGACCTTGACTATGTCGAATGTCAGACATTTATTTATCAATGGCTTTGGAAGATGGGTACGTAATATCGCGAGTCGATTGAAGTTAGATATGCCAACTATTAAATATCAGCTCAGAGGCATTGAGGTTAACCGATAGCCGTGTGACTTGAAGACTTCAAGTTTGATTTCAGCTGAAATCGTAGATGAGGGTGATCGAGAAGTTTCACACAGAAAAGAAAACGCTTTCGCATGCTTCTTGTTTTCTAGCTATTGTCGAAATAAGATCAGTTCATTATGGAAGCTACAATACTAACTAATCTCTACAAACCCCATACATCAATAATCTCAGATTTTCTTAGTCTCAGCTAACTAAGTCAATGAAGGGTTAACACTCTATTTCTTATCAAAAAATATTAAATCCTTGCATTCCTTTAGTTATATTAGGTCGTTTTCTGCCAAAGTAGCTTACTGAAGAAGTATTTTAACTGAACAGGGTATTAAATGGCATGTATTTGGTGGACAGTAAATATCAAATATTTTCCAAGATTAGAGAAATACATTGACAATCGGTGCTGATTAGCAGAAAATTAATCTTATGAAGACTTTTTTGGGTATTATTTTCAAATTTTTAGTAGCAAATCAATGTGGTGCAAAGTGGCGACCTTATTATGGACCTATCACTCAGTCCTCTTCTGCTTATGAAGTAGTTATGTTAGTATTTGGAATTTCTTACGTTGATGTGTGATCAACATTTTACACTATATATTCTATGAGTTCAGCAATGAAAGTGGAAAAAATGGAAGTTATCTGCTTGTTATCTTGTATCATATTCTGACTATCGGGTGAGCAAGCTTAAGGAAATGTATTCTCGGCCAGTAGTCTTTATGTTTTACTTTCATCTATTATGTCGCTATCATCGTATCATTGGTTGACCGCATGTCATTGGTATTATATAGACAGTTTAAGCAAACGAATTAATAACTAGACTCGATCAATAACAGCCCTCTTGTCTTATTATCCCGTTGCACGGGTTCCCAAAAACGAGAAGCATTATTAATAGAACAATGAGAAGACAAAGCTGATCTGAAAAAAATGTGACGTATATGCGCGATACATTTCTGTCAATCTGGTCACATATATACTTGTCAAGGCAATTTATGTGAAAACTAATAAAGGTAAACCAAATGAAGTTGTCAAGGACGAACTCTTAGGTTTATAGAAATCTTTGCTATTCGTAAATTAAAATCTCCCTTATGTGTACAGAAGCAACTTCTTGTAAACTTGAATTTGCTCTGGTAATTCATAAGTCACGTTATGGCTAGACTGTTCGACAAGTGTGGTCCAAATACATCACATTTTCCAGATCATCTCCGTATTCTCATTGTTTTATTGAAATTTATGAACGGGACTAATTGCTTTAAAGAAGAAATATGCTTTTTTTAGTCATATCAAGAACAGAAAACAATGGAATATGGTTTGAACAATTTGTGAATGTACATACCTGTCTGTTAATGTTTTCTCTACATTTCCTTGAGTTATTGTTGTTGTTATGCTGGGTAGTGTTTCAATACTCTTCTCTTCTATTCTTTCATTTGAATTTGGTTTCCTCTGATCAATGAATGATTTATTTAAACATTGAACATCTGAAGAATTCATTTGTTTTAAGTTAGTTTTACTTGCATTAAGTAACTTATGAGAATTTTCAGTTTGACAATGAACTATTTTATGCTTCGTATTATTGATATTTCTAGATTTAAAGGTATCAGATTTATTGAAATTTTTAAGTGGTGCACAGTTTTGTTTTACAGGTAAAGATTGTTTTGATGAATCATACATTGAAGATGATAACATCATGGATGTCAGTGACTGTATACTCGATTGTTTTGTTAATCTCATTGACTTAGAGGAATTTGTTGACTTCTCCAAAGAATTTTTTGTGGTGAATGAAGGTAGAGTCTAGAATATTCGTAATGAAGGGAAAACAAAACATTACACCAAGTCACTAATATACCTCAGGGTTTTATAGCAAAAGAAATTCAATGACAGACCTGAAATAATATCAGGTTTTTAAAAAAATGAAAGGAAGTGATAACTGATACTACAATAAGTAACATTCGGACTGATGCAAAGTGTCAGTGTTATCGAAAACTTGAGAAAAATGGCTATATTGGTAATGATTTAGAATTCAATTCAACTGAACGATCACTGCATTTTTACTTCTTACTTACGCCTGTTATCCCTCGTGGAAGAGCATAGGCCGTCCACAAGTACACTCGATCCAACCCTGTTCTCAATAATCCGTTGAAGTTGTTATTCATTCTTTCATATATGCTTCCAATTCTCAGCGCAGTATGTTCTTTGGTCTTCGTCTTTTCAGTTTCCTTTCAAGATTCTAAGTTAGCGATTGCCTCGTGATGCAGTTTGATGATTTCCGTAATGTATTTCCTATCAACTCCCAGTGTCGTTCCCTGATTTCTTCTTCAGTTAGAACCTGGTTTGTCTTCTCATACAGTAGACTATTTCTAATGGTATCGGTTCAACAGATATTGAATATCTTATGTAGACAACTGTTTATAAATATTTGTACCTTCTTTATGATGATGATGGTTGTAGTATTTCTCCACGTCTCAGCTTCGTACAATATGACTTTCATGACGTTCGTATTGACGATTGTGACCTTGATATTGGTTGACATTTGTTTTCAGTTGCATATGTTGTTCAACTGTAGGAATGCTGTCCTTTCTTTGCCGATCCTCGCCTTTACGTCTGTATATGACCCTCCACATTCATCGATGATGTTACCGAGATATGTGAAACTTTCCACCTCTTCCAGAGCTTCTCCATCAGATGTGATTGCGTTGGTGTTCTGTGTGTTGTACTTGAGGATCCCGGTTTTTGTCTTTGTGTATGTTGAAGTCTACTGATGCAGAGGCTGTTTTATTAATATTAAAGTGTTTTGTATAAATATTGATTATAAGTATCAAAAGTATTTCATAAATATGCAGAAATTTAACTTAATCTCATAAATCGAACTGCACAGAAACATTGATCAATTCATAGATCTGATTCTATCTACAAGTAAATTAGTAGTCAATTGAAAATTACCACTTTATTCATTTAGAAGATACAGAATCTGACAATCTTCATTTAATCATCTTAAATGATACTTAGTTCTTTTTTTATATTTATAATTCAATTGATAAACATAAACTTAAATATTTATTTAGTTTCTAGGATGTTTTCATTGTTAAAAGTAAATCAATGAGTACAAAGTCAATTTATCTAATAATCAATTTGTAGCAAAAAAACTGTTGTTAAGATACTTACTTTTGATTAATATGAAAGTATATTGAAATAAAGTTATAAATAGCACAGAATAATTAAGGTGCGTGCTACTTATATTGATATAAGTAGTATATGACGCGATTTAAGAATGTAATGTCTGGCAGCAGAAGATGGAAAAGATCAAGAAAGGAAGAGCGGGAATAGAAAGAAATTTTTTGTGGAAATGCAACAACAACGAAGTTCCAGACAATTATTGAACATTTTCCAAATTAAGTATTATAGTAGGTTTTTTCTATTTTATCAAGTAACTGTAATTTCGTGGTAAATATAATTCGGTTGTCCTCGCCTGTGTTCTCCTTTAATACATAATATGTTCCAAGATGGAGAAGATATTGAATGTTAGTTTAAGGCTTACTTAAATGTGTAAAATTGTTTATTACTGATATTCTTTTGATGTAAAATATTACTGTCAAATATCTTATGAAACGACTACTTAAATAGTAACTATACCGAATTATTTTACTACGAAAATGAATCAAATAGTGTAGTACCTGGCACAAATATATTTCACCCTTAGTTGATATGCCTCAATCAACCAAGAGCAAAAGGATGGATTAACAAGAGGTTAAGCTAAGAATTCTACATTGTTGGTTACAGTCGTAAACGAAACGTTGGAAATACAGTTTGAATAAAACAAATGAAACAGTGAATGAATAGCACATAGGAATATTTATAAGTTAGGTTGGGAACCGTATCATTTATTGTATTTAAACTGAAACAACATTTATCTTGCAGGTTACACTCAGAAAATTTTCAACAGTTGGAAAGCTGTAATCAAAATGGTATTTACAGATCCTATATTGTGTTATAAACTTTACCTGGAGCACCTCTGCGGCTACTGCCATCCTCACATTCATAAAAAACTAACTCGATAAAAAAGCACTAACCAGGAAAAATTAATTCAATATTTGATTTCGTTGAAGTTAAATTAAGTCAGCATTTATTGCCAGATAGAATTTCTAATTTAGATCCATAGAATAATATTAGTTTACTTTCTATAAGTGATTAGAATTCTAGATCCAACCGTATATTGATTTGGTAAAGAATCGTATAAAAAGTAAAATACTACTTTACATGATTTTGATTCAATTATTTTGATTTTTCCTAATATCTGTGTATTATGTTAAGAAAAAAAATCAATCATAAATGGTAACTTACTGTGGATTGTGTTGAAAAGTTTAACTTCCGACTGTTAATATTACTATCAACAATGTTAGTAGTAGGAATAGTAGTAGTTTTATGAATGTGATCTACAGAATATATAAGTAAGAGAAATAAAATTAACAAAAATTGAAAATTCCAAATTGAATATGTACAACAGACAAAATAGTTTACGTGTTATCGATTTCTATTGTTATAACTTGTGATCCTGTGTGCCCTATATATTGGATAACGCAACGACACCGCCAATCAGAGAGCAGAGAATTAACGATCGAACACGTGACGCACAAAACACGTGCGAGCGGCCTAGAGTCCTGATGGGCCTCGCTTCCTGTCTAGTCCAGTTAGTTAATTCCAGAACACCAATCTCAGCCTCTGCAATATTAACTATTTATTTCAAACATACTCGGTTTATATACCAATCAAACAGACCACAACGTACCATAAAATATGAAACATTTGGCCAAAAGTGGCTGTGAATGAGGGAGGTAGTGATTAACAGACAAAGCATAATTCAAGAATGGTAAATCGTATAGTAATAGTTTATGGGTCAAATCAAAGATTATAATAAGAGCGATATGAATATGAACAGTTTAGTAATATAACAATTATACGATAGAAATATACTCATAGTATTGGTCTACAAATGGATCCCAAAAGTTACCATACATTATTCTTATCGGGATATAACATCTATTTTGAAATAATAATCTGTCAACAATATACATCAGAACAGTAAAACATTTTTGAAAATATATTTCAATTCAGTTTTGATAATTCTGAACAATCTGATATGACTAAAATGCTCTAATACAGCCAAGAGTTGGGAAGAGTCCGCTTTCGCTCTCCAAATCCTCTCAAATGACCACGTGCATACAACCACTGCTGGGGAAGTCCTACTCACTGCATTCTCGTGGGAGTTGGTGTTTTTTTAAGAAATTGAGGGGACGAAAAGTGAATGTCCGGTGCTTTAACCAGGTTGGTGGATATGAACGATCCACTTAGGGGAGTTGGATAACCATGATTCTAAACCAAACGTGCACATGGGCTCAAGGAACTTTAGGGAACGAACGGTGTATGAACCAATTGTTGGTCACCGCCTACCATCAGACTGCATCTTCTCACGTTGCTCCACTACCTTGTGGGTTAGACCTTTATGTCAAAGGCTTCTAGTGTAAACCCTTAAGGGAACCATCTGCTTTGGTTTGGCCACCCGGACAGTATCCCAGACCTCACATAAATCGAATGATTTATGTGGCGCATATAACTTTATTGGCTCCTTGTACCAATGTTTATGTGTTGAAACAAATAACAAATAAATAAATATAAGTAGTAGCAGTAAAGAAATGAACATGAGAAATATATTTCATGTAAAATCGGAAAATGAAAGATATAGATTAATACTTAAAAAAATAACGAAAAGAACGTTTAAAATGCTACCAGTTATGAACCACGTCAAAGGATGTGTTTAACTGTTGACAAAATTAACAGCGACATATAATTTTATAGTGATACCGGTCACTGATATGATATTTAGCAAATGCTAATAAAGGTTTGAAAACCACTAATACACTTTTACATATTCAAGAGTATATATTATAAGCACTGTGGATTAACTTCAAACTTTGGTGGAAAGTTTTTTTAAAAAATTTTCATGAAGTTTTCATAATGAAATAACAACATACTGAACATCATTTACAAATATTTCTTGAATAAGAAACCAAAAATTTGAATCCACTTAAACCATAAGTAATCTGTTTAATAAAGGATACATAAGATCTTATATATTACAAGGTTTTTTGGGTTATCAAGATATATATTTATCTAATACAGAGTTACTTAGAAACGTCAATTACTAATAAATGTGCTCTTGTTTACCATTAACTGGGTTTTACATAGCGCTTGATATATATGGTAAGGTTAAATTATAATACATGATACTTGATGTGCGAAATCGCAATAGAATCTCTTATCAAACCAAGAACACTAGAAGTCTTCCTGATTGTAATCCTACGAATGTTTTATTTTATTCTTATTTGAAACGAACTTCCACTGATAAATGGAATTACAATATTAGTACAGTATTAGACAGATCGATTATTTTTCTTTTCTTTCTGTAGTAAGCAGATTATTAGTACCATCAAGATAGATATAATACACATTATTCTGTAGAGTCACTGCATATCGAAAGTAGCTATGTATGAAAGAACCTATGATGTTTGCTAAGTTCGTCTACATTTTGTGTTCGTATTCTCTTCTTATCCTATAACATTTTTGTTTAGCTTTTTATACTACTTAATAATATTCAGTAACCCGTTTTACTACTCAGAACTTTTATGCACTCAGTTTAATACATTATGTTATATACTATTCTTGATTATTTACATAAACTAGTAACATTTAATAGTTCCATTTACAATCTCTCAACTTTACAACAGTTAATTACAGTTTTTCATATTTCTCCAATCTATGTTTTCAATAATTTGGTGCGCGTAGTTTCCATTCGAATGTTGAGTAGTCAGTTAATAAAACTAGACACGGCTACCAACTGTCATTTGTAATATCAAAGCCTTTTCTCTTCCATAAATACAGATACATTGACTATCACAAATATCTCGCCAGTTGAGATAAGACTTTTGCAAACTAGAACTTCATGACTATATCTATCATGTAGACAGGTGTTTCGGTTGATTGTTTTCATTTTAAGTGATCTAGTATACATACATATTTCAAAATAATTATGTAATAATGAATATTTTAAAGAAAATAACTTACGCTCTGTTGGAATGACGGATTGATCATTTTCTATGGTTATTCTTGTATCAATTGAATCACAGTCTAAGTAAAGTGATAAACTTTGCCAATTATGATCATAAAGTTTATTATCAGTATTATTAATACAATTAGTAGTATCTTGATGTGCTGATTTAATAAGACATTTGTTTGTATAATAATAATTGTCATATTTAAAAAAGAGAGAATGTTTAGTATAAGTATTTTGTCTAGAAGAATTAATAATTCTTTTATCATTATAGTTATGAAATTGATCCATGGAATGTTTTATTATTTTGTTTGATAATTGTGTATTCATTCTATTTGAATTATTTATATGTTTTATAGATGGATGATGTTTGAAATGCATTAACTCTTTATTTGTATAACATACAAATCTTGGTGTACTAGAACCAAAACCAATAGGATATGTAGTTGTAACATTATTAGTATTGATCGTTGTTATTGTTGTTATAGATGTTGTTGATGTGATTGATTCATTTGTATTCTTTGATGTAGATACATTTGTACTATTGTTATTCATTTTTTGATAATTATGAATTAAATGAGATCCACAAGAATAAGGTCTGTTAGGATATTTCTGTTGTTGTGAATGGTTCGAGATAGTTTTTTGTTGATAAGAATCTTGAAACTGTTTAGATAACTGATTGAAGCGTTGCTATTCAGTAAATAAAATAATAATAATAATAATAATATAGTCTACTAAAACAATTTTCTTCAAATAGAATAATAACAACTTATATTGAAAAATAGTTAATGAATTTAACTTGTTTACTTTTAAGACTTTTTAAGTTTCCATATTCATTTATAATCTGTAGAATTATATTGTTGTATTACATAATAATATTACAAAAACTGGCCATCAATTGTTATATAATCTTTAGGAATATTGATATATTGTTTTGAAGAACTTTGTGTATTTAATAGTAGTCAATGAGGCAGTTAATCATGTATGTGGAGGAAGTTTCATCAGCTCAGAAGTATAGAAATCAGAAGTCATGTAAATTATTATTATTATATTTCATTATTTAATTGAACCTAAAAACGATGGTACAACAGGGTAGTGAATACAAATGTACCATAAAAGTCACTTGATTTGTGAGATGGGTTGCAATACTGCCAGGATGACCAAACTAAAGCAGGTGGTTTTCTTCGGGGGCAACACTCTGAGCTTTTGACCTAAAGTTCTAATTCACAAGGCAGTGGAGTAACGTTAGGAAATGCAGTCTCAGTCACCAATAATAGGTCCATAATTTGTTCTTTCAGGATCCAGGAGCGCATGTACACCATTTGTTTGTAATGAGGGTTTCTCATCTCCCATAAATAGATCCGCCGAACGTTCTCTTTCCACTCTCTCAATTTCGTATACAACAGTAATGCTGTGTGAAATTGGTGAGTAGTACTTCTCTGACAGTGGCTGTATATGCGTGGCAATGTGAGCACATTTGGAGACGTAGAACGAACTCTCCTCACCCTCTAACGTAACAGCGTATTTTGGGGGCAGTCATGTAAATAATTCTCTTTAATTTGAGGAATGAAAGGCGATAATCTCTGTTATAAACTAAAGAGAGTCGATCATTATTATTTATTATTATTATTAAGTATATTAGCCTCTTTTAAAGTCAGTGAATTTCAGTAAGACTTCAACTGTTAAGGTAGTTCATAAACATCTTCTGTAGTCAATCTATTAATGGAAATGATAAAACTCTTACTGTTTAATAATAAAAAAATTATTGAGTATTAAAAATGAAGAATAAGTAGTAGTGATCATGAAGAACATTACTGAACATTGACAACTAACTTGAATAAAGATTTATGTCTAAATAATTTATACTACTTAAATCAATTGAAATAAAAATGAACGAGTAACAAGAAATGTGTAAATTGTTTTATGATAAAATAGTTTATTTTTTGAGATGGTGGAGATTTGTTGCTCAGGTGGATGATTATGATGGGTTTTTTTCTCTGAGCTGGATGATTTGGTCGTGGAGCTTTCATCGTTCTTCTGAACGACATTATCAGCACAAACTTTAGATAGAAGCCTATCTATCCACCACCAAATCATCCAGCTCAGAGAACAAAACTCCATCAAAGTAGTTTATTCAATTTCTTTACCTCTATTCCTAACAGACTTCTTATTGAAGAATAAGATCAGTAAAGATAATTAATTATGAACTTTGATGGGTGATACTAACTGACCATATAGAACAATTTATGACAGGAAATTTGATAAAATATCATTTAGTGACCCTAGATCTGACTTCAATTGGATTGTATGCTGATTGCTATCGAAATACACATGTCGGCTATCCTCGTACATTTCATCGACTTAAATCGCGTTGGTAAATAACAGAATTAAATAAACCAAATACGAGAATGAAGTTTTGAATACGTATATTTTGTACAGTCACTGATCTGAACAGGAAATCCGAAGGATTAAGAGGAGAGAAGAGAGAGGAGCGAAATGACGTTCGGTAGAGAAGGCATGTGAGCCAACTCCCATTATTCAAGCCTTAAAAATTACTTATAGCCAGATAAAATTAAGTTGGAGACATGTGATTAAATAGGATAACAAGTGTACACACACATACGCTCATATAAAAAACAGTTAAGGTTGATAATTGAATAACTAACAAAATTAAAATTGTGACTCAAAAAGAATAAATAAATTAGCCTGTCCAGAAGTAAGAATCGAGTATATGGGCTTAACACAGTAACCGACATAACATAGCCCCCTTTGTAGACAATAGAACATTTGAAAAAATGTCTGTTGTCAAAAATAACACTAAAGTGGTATGTAGGATAATATTAATAAGTAGGGAAAATATTGTACATTACCTGATAAAGTACAGTTTCACTTGAGGAATGATTAGTTTTTTACGAGTTTTATACTTATGTAAAAGAATATATGAACATCGTAAAGGTGAGGACAAAAAGTGGAAATGTTAGTATGTGGTTATGACCTAGATAAAGTATATAGGCTTAACATAGCAACTAACACTACAATCACTAATTAAAAATTAATCCCGAAAATTCATCATAATCATTTGAAGTTTTTTCTAAATATTGAAACAACATTGAAAATCTTGTTTACAAACTAAAAACTTTATAATCATGCATATTGATTCTATTAATCTAATCTTTGAAAAATCCAAGTCAAATTAACTTATAATAGTACAGGGAAATTTTTCAGATATTAATCAGTTTGAATGGATGATACATGGATCTGATTCAGGTCATCCACTAAATTAGAAAAATAGTTCTGTTTTAGGATCATTTATTTGTGTTGTACTGTAAAGGGCAGAAACTTGGTGAACTACGAAAGCAATCATCTAGAAGTGGTTATTAACAGTTGCCTAAATAAAGTACTTCAGATTCGTTGGCCAAATATACTATCAAGCCACAACTTACTGTGTAAAAGAACAAACCGGATTTCATTGGGGAAAGAAATCAAGACAAAGCACTGGAAGTGGATAGGACACACATTGAGTAAAGCATCAAGGCAAACCTTCACATGGAATTTTCAAGTCCAAAAGTGAAGAGGAATACCAAACAACACAATATACCAAGAGATGAAGACAGACATGAGAAGAGTGAACGACAATTGGATAGAACTAGAAAGGAAAGCCAAGAACAGAGTGGATTAGAGAATTCTGGTTGGCACCCTATGCTCCTTCCGGGGGTAACAGACGTAAGTAAGTAAGTAATCAATTATGTGACGTAGACAAGAACATGGGTAACTGGTTATCAAGTCACTGACCAACAGTGGCGACTTATGCTCCATTGGAAGTAACAGGCTTTAGTAACTAGATAAGTAATTTGTACTGTTAAAAATTTCCAAAAAAACCAACAAATTTGATAGTGAGCAAGAACAAAGGTTAGTGCAGAATAATATGAATACATTTCATTTCGTTAGATTCTTATCAGCTGCTTACAACCTAAAATATTTGAAATTCAACATTATTACAGATATTGACATATTTATACATCAGAGGATGATGAAGGATGAATATATGTAACATGATGTAGCAAAGATTTCGTTAGAGTTAATGAGGTCATAAAATGTTTTGTTTCGAATATATAGAGTTTGGGAGGGAAAGTGCCAGAACATTGAAATAGTGATTAGAAATCATGGAATTAAAACACATTAGACAATTATGCAATGAAATAACTGAAAATAGATTAATGTTAATAAAGAGTGATATACATTGAAATTGGTCAGTTATGAATGATGTAATTATAAAATTCAGAAAGAATTAGAATGACGTAATAAAAATAAAAGGTTTGAATTTGATTGTTTGTTGATCACCTTGAAGGACTTCGCCGAAGCAATAGAAATTAAACGTTTAAAACCAGATCTATGTATACAAAAAGAAACAATAATAAATCTTCCTTTGCCCTGGTAACATTCACCCTATCCCCTTTTATTTTTATTACGTCATTCTAAGTCTTTCTGAATTTTTTTATTACATCATTCATAACTGACCAATTTCAATGTATATCACTCTTTAATAACATTAATCTATTTTCAGTTACATCATTACATAATCGTCTAATGTGTTTTAATTCCATGATTTCTAATCAATATTTCAATGTTCTGGAACTTTCCCTCCCAAACTCTATATATTCAAAACAAAATCTTCATCCTTCATCGCCTTCTGTTGTATAAGTATGTCAATATCTATAATAACTTTGAATTTCAAATATTTTAGATTGTAAGCAGCTGATGAGAATCTAACGAAATAAAATGAATTCATGTATTATTCTGCACTAACCTCTGTTCTTGCTCTTTTTAAAATAATAAAAGGAACTATGTGAATGAGATTTGATAGTCTTCTATGAACGATATATATATATATATATATATATATATATATATATATATATATATATATATATATATATATATATATATATATATATATATATATATATATATAAAGGTTGTTTTATTCATAAAGTGTTTCAGAACAAACTTCAAATATCAATAGTTAAATAGGTTACCTAATGAATGATTTTATGATGAGAGTAAAGAAAAAAACATTAAGGTGAAAATAGGTTTGATGATGAATATGAAGAAAAAACGGAAAGAAAGAATCTTTATTTGAGTAATTTATAAGAGTGTCATCAAATTTATACATTCATTGATTCTATTCTAAGGTATATGTTAATATTCATCTTTGGGTAATATGTACATTATGAATGTTTTACCTTAGTATTCTCATTAAGTCATAAGTATATTTAAACACATTGAATAGTATCTAGCAAAAAGTTTTGAGTCAAAGTTCTAGTGAGAATATTAATATGGGGTGTAAGTTTCAGTCAGGACAAAACTATACATTTTGGATTACATATTATTGCTAGTTACAATTAACATGAACTAACGATATTACTGAAATAGTAATATTAGTTTTCTTGTAAATGTTACATTTACGATAAATAATATAAGAATAACAAAATATTATTCAATGGTTAAGATCATGAGTCAGTTGAAGCTAGACCACCATGGGAAACCTGGAAGCACTGGACGTCCATTTCGTTCTGTTGTGAGACTCCTCATCAATGCGCATCCACGACCTCGTACCTTGCGAGATTCGAACCCTGGTTTCGCGCGTGAGCACTTAACCACTAGACCACTGGACCGGCATTCAATTAACTCATGATCTTAACCATTGAAATGACTATAATATCCACAAAACCCATTTGAAAATATTATTCGTTTATTTGTAATATGATTCATTATATTTTACTATGACAATTCATATTTATCATGTTTTAACTAAATTCTTTTTTTGCTTTCTTCTACTTGAAAGTTTAAAATGAATGATGAAATAGCATGTTCCTGACAAAATCATTTTGTTATTGAATATAATATTATCCTTCGTTATTTTAGACCTTTGGCATCTGAGGGAAAGCACGGAATAAAATGGACATCTCCGAACCAACTAGATGATATGAACTTCGCAGATAACCTGAACCCTTCTATCCCATACACACGAACAAATGCAGATAAAGACAGCCAGTGTAGCAGTATTTTCTACGTCAGTAGACTTCAGCATGCACAAAGACAAAAACCGAGATCCTCAAGTACAACACAGAACACCAGCCCAATCACATTTTATTTAGAAGCTCTGGAAGAGGTGGGAAGTTTCACATATCTCGGTAACATCATCGATGAATGTGGAGGGTCATATACAGACGTAAAGGCGAGGATCGGCAAAGAAAGGACAGCATTCCTACAGTTGAACAACATGTGCAACTCAAAACAACTGTCAATCAATATCAGGGTCACAATCGTCAATACGAACGTCATGACAGTCCTATTGTACGAAGCTGAGACGTGGAGAAATACTACAACCATCATCATCATAAAGAAGGTACAAATATTTATAAACAGTTGTCTACATAAGATATTCAATATCTGCTGACCCGACAACATTAGCAATAGTCTATTGTAGGAGAAGATATACCAGGTTCTAACTGAAGAAGAAATCAGGAAAGCAGGTTGGAAGTGGATAAGACACATTGAGGAAATCATCAAACTAAATCACGGGGCTGGCTTTACTCTGATTAATTTTCGAAGGAATGTAAATTGCTGCTTAATATGAGTATCTGAAAATGGTTGTTACCTTCTGCCATAATAAATTATAGATATATTGCAGCTATATATCATTGGTGAATTTTCAAACAAATAAAAGATTTATTTGTATCAGTTGTTCAAGTCTTCTTGTTGATGTTAATGGCTCCAATCGATCAGTCTCTTTTTGGAATATGTTCATCTTGTGCAAATTACATTGATATTGCTATCAAGTCACAAGAGCTAGGTGGATCACACTTTCGTTGAGTCATGAAGTGAGCATCAATTCGAATTTATGGACATTCAGCCGATGAGTCCCAAATAGAACGAAACGCGAGCCCATCCAGTGCTTCCAGGTTTTTCATAGTGATCTAGCTTCGATCGACTCATGATCTCAACTATTGAGGTTTTATATGTTTGTCTTTGAAATATTGTTAGGTTTTATTTTCTAAGTCATGGTATTTACATGTACACTAGATTTCTTATTATACAAAGAATGGGTCGTTTTAAGGAGTCAACATATAATACAGTCATTAGATAAATATATTCATTGGAAATTACCTACCTGTTTTGAAGCTTCAATAGCTTTTCTACGAGCTTCAGCTTGTTTATGTTTAAACTGTAAATTTTTACGAATTTCTAGTAATTTAGCTTGTCTAAGTTCCAACGCTTTCTGTCTAGCCGATATTAATGCTGCTTCAGAAGCTAATAATTGAACTTTTCTAATTGCTTGACGTTTTTCATCTTCAGCTTTTGAAATTGCTCGCCTATCTTTACCGGATGAAGGTACACTATTGAATTGGTGATCATTTGAACAGAGTGAATTAGATTTTTTATCATGATACATTTTACATGAGGAGTTAGATGTAGAAGGACGAGATAACATTGAATTTGACATGAGACATAAATCTGTTGTTGTTTCCTGTACATGTTTATTTCCGTTTAAAGTGCATATTGAAGATAAATCCTTTTTAGAGCAGGTTTCTGGAAAGTTAGAGTTCGAATAAAGTAGCGTCAATAAAAACAAAATAGCTATCCACAAATTAAAATAACAGCAATTTACTCAATCGTATTGAAGTTTACAAAAGTGTATAAACCACTGCATAATCAGTCAGTCAGTAACAACGTAAAACTTCTTTCGTACGTACATCAGTTCAAATTCCCATGCTACATTAGCACGAAGACACAACTGTCGATTCAAACCTCATAGTGGCAATGTTAGTGAAAGTATAAACAGTAATCGGAAACATTAGGGTTTGAGGATGTTATTAAAGGAGTATGATCCAGCGAAATAAATTTGGAAAGAGAAAAAATGGGGACATGAAGAATTCAGAAAACTAGGATTTGTGAGAACACAAAGAGTGGATGAACCTGCGCCATTGCAAATGATTTTAAACCATGTTATTCAGGATCTCTAACCATCGGATGCTACGTAATATTTTATCTCGATAATAATAAACTACTTCCACTAATCTAGTACTAGTACCAGATGTATGGTGTTATCAGCTGTTGTCTTACTGAATGTAATTAGATCATTAGCAAACCAATAGCTTCGATTGAATAACTGGTAAAGAGGACTGTAGTATTTGTACACTGAGTTTTTTTGTGCATTATGAGAATCTTATTGATAAGAATTTTGTAGTGACTTACTTTTATCACGAGAACGCGATTGCTTTAATGAAAATAATAATTATTATAACCAATTGTACCAGTGATTGTTTTACTGTGCTAATGACAGACATATTGTGCTTCCATTATCCTCCATTATTGTATTGCGGTTCGTGATTCCGTTCGCACGTACTCCCTTCTGTTACTTCTGCTTGTACCATTTCTTGGCAAGATCTTGGTACTCATTCGATACCACGAGATCGCCAATTAAATAAACTTGGTTCTGTTACGCCTTCTGATTTTATTGGCACTTATTTCTCAGTAGCGGTGTTCATAGTCAACTGGAACTCGACACCACACTGCATTTTCGTATTATGCCTAATTTCTTTCCCCTTTTATATGAAGATAAGTAGAAGCGATCGCCGATTGAGCCATTCACATTGAAGTCGTTTAACCATAAACTAGAAGGTTCCATACCGATTCCCATGGAAACATCCAGCCAATAGGGTGAAACTATTAGGTTGCAAATCTAAATAAACGTCGAATATTCTCAAGTACTTTTGTATTTCCTGTCTACCGAGACAAAGGTGTCATTGTATTGAATAAAGCGATTTGCGCCGTTGTAGAAACCATCCAATAAAATATTGGTGACCTTAAACTAGAAGCTGGAAGAATATATTTCATAAGTAACATCCAGTCAGCCAGTCAGTAACAATTTAGAATTTCGTACGTACGTACATCAGTTTGAGTTGCCATACCACATTAGAACAGAGATGCACTTGTCGATTCAAATACTATAGTGGTAGAGCTAGTAAGAGTATAGACAGTAATCGGGAAGATTAGGGTTTGAAGATGTTATTCAAGGAGTATAATACAGTGAAATGAATTTGGAAAGCGAAAAAAGAAAGGGACATGAAGAATTCAGAAGATTAGAATTTGGGAGAACACAAAGAGTGGATGAACATGCGCCATTGCAAACGATTTTGAGCCACGGCATTCAAGATCTCTAACTATCGGTTGCTATCATCTCGCGCTCCCAACCAGGTAGTCCACAACTACCAATATGACTCAGTCTACTTGTCAGTGACTTCATAGACTTGTGCCATGTTTTGATCTGGCCACCTCTAGCTTTCTTCCAATCTACTCCTATACAACAAAACATCGCACGTCGAGGCAGTCGGTGGTTGGGCATAAGTAACACGTGTCCCAGCCATCTCAACTGATGAAGTTTCACCACTTCATCAATTGATTTGCCATCCTTACCTAGTACCCGTTTCCTAACAACTGCATTACTTACTCGATGGTCCCAGGATATACGAGCAATGTTTCGAAGACACCTATGATCGAATACTAGTAACCTACGAATATCCTTTACTCTTACCGGCCATGTTTCACTGCTATAAAGTAGGACGGGACGTACTGCTGCGCAGTAAACACGTCCTTTGGTTGATAGACGGATATCTCGCCTACACCATAAATGACGCAAGTTGGCAAAAGCTAGTCGAGCCTTCTGTATCTGTGCTGAGATTTCGTCACATAGCAGACCACAAGGGCTGATGAGACTTCCAAGATAAGTGAAGCGGTCGACACACTCAACTACTTCACTCCCTATCACTAGTTCGGGTGTCGATGTAACCCAATCCTGAAGCAACATTTTGCATTTCGAGGGAGAGAATCCTATCCCGAACATGCTTGCATTGTTGCTTAGAGTGGTCAGAATACTTTGCATTTTGTCAGCGTCTTCGCCAAATAAAACTATGTCATCAGCATGTTCTAAGTCAACAAGTGAACCTCCCGGTAGAAGTTCAACCCCTGGAAATTTAGATGAGAGTGTTATCTCTAAAAGTACGTCGACCACAAAGTTGAACAAGAATGGAGAGAGTGGACAGCCCTGACGAACACCACTTGAGGTAATCAATTCTGATGACAGTTCGCCATAAGCTCTCACTCTACCAGTTGTGTTCGAGTAGAGAGCCTTTACAAGGTTAATGTACTTCTTTGGTACTCCTTTCAGTGACAAACACTGCCATAGAACCTTACGATCAACAGAGTCGAATGCCGCCTTAAGGTCGAGAAATACTACCATTGTGGGGTGTCTAAACGTGTGTCTGTGTACTATCCTTAAAAATCTCAGGAGTAAACCTGTCAGGGCCTGCTGCTCTCCCCCGTTTCAGATTTCCTATGGCTTTTTCAACTTCGTAAAGAGACGGAGGACCTACATTAACTTGCCATTCAGGTTGACTAGAGATCGTGGGAAACCGAAGTGTGGCTGAAGGCCAGTTGAACTGATCCCTGAAGTGTTCTGCACATCGATCCAATCTCCTGGATTGGGAATGAATAATATGTCCATCTTTCTCTGAGATTGTCTCGCTAACGGTCGGTTTCCTAATTCCGGTTTCCTTAATGAGTCTGAACAATTGTCTGCTATTACCTATTGCCGCTGCCTTTTCCATCTCTCTTACATTCGCTACCCACCACTGTTCGCGATCATTGCGTAGACTTCTTGTCAGCTTGCGCTTAAGCTGACTCCGCTCTTCACTATGTTCAGAGCCAGGTGGAATCAGTTTCCGAGCATCTATCAGTGCGATAGATGCTGCTGAGATCCGGTGTTGCTCTCTAACCTCCTGGTTTACCTTACTAGCAGATATCACTGCTGTTTCCACAGCTTTTCGGATATCATTCCATGCTGCCTCGGGGTGGGCATCACATACATGGCTGCCTAACTGTTTTCTTAGTTGTTCCTGAAATATACTCTTAGCTTGACTATCATTAAGTAGGGCCCTAAGAGGTTTCCTTGCAGTGTCTTTCCTACGTCCAGTAAGACGCAAGCAAATACGCGCTCGTACTAGAGCATGATCTGAATCTAAGCATGTGCTCCAGAATGAGCGACAGTCTTCTATCGAGCCCCTCCATCGGTGGCTGATAGCGATGTGATCTATTTGGGTCCAACGTTGTGACGAATTAGGGGGTCTCCATGTTAAAAGATGATTTTCTTTATGCTTAAAGTTAGTATTTGCAAGGAACAGGCGATTATCTGAGCATAGCTGCAACAGACGGTCGCCATTATCTGTTCTTTGAGCCACGACACCATAAGATCCACCTAGGTGTCTTTCCCTATCGCTTAGTTTACCTACTTGAGCATTAAAGTCGCCGGCCACTATTACTACATCCGAGCGCCTAGCTTTTCGGAGAAGGTCGGAAAGCTTTCTGTAAAACTCATCTTTTACATCATCTGAGCTGCAGTCAGTTGGAGAATAGGCAGAGACGACGAAGAGGCAACGACGTGTGTCCCTATCTCTCCGGATTCTTACTGTCCGTTCAGTCGGACAGCGCACAAACGGCTGTCTACTGGGATCCACTCTAAGAGAGCTAGTTCTGCACTAGAACTCAATGCTATACCTACCCTGGCGAGGCCACGCGAAGCAGAATCAGGGCTTCCAGATACCTGAAGCGTAAATCGAGTCGGTTCTTTATTTTGACATGGTGAGGTCAAATAAATGACGCTACTCGGATCCTGTATGCGCGTTCCGGAGACGCAGCACACATCGATGGCGCGAGATTCTAAAGTCCTAGCTAAGAATGCATGTTGTCATATTTGGCACAGTGTTCGGATGTTAAAAGCTCCTACGTGTAGTTTAGAGCGTGGTTTCAGGAGACCAAGAATAACGTTCCGCGTACTCGAATCGTTTGCCCTAGCCTTGCGAAGTGCTAAAGAAACGTGAGGAGGGTTAGTCATGGAAATAAGAGAGGTATTAGGAAGTGTAGGAATGATTTGAATGTGACCAACTTGGTCTCGTGTGCTGTTACGGGTATGAGGGCTGGTATCACTTCCTGACTGCCCACACCGTGGAAGGGTATTTCTTAAGGAACCTGAAAAGAAAATTGGATTAGTGTTGGTCTTAACGCCATGGAAGCGTGACCACAGAGCCCAAGTGACAACTGCTTGAGGCCGGTCGCGCACGGCCTTTTTGTGGAAGGTTTTTAATGTGTTGGCTCCGTTCTTCAAAGAGCCTTACCGACGGAGACGGAAATCCGTGAGGTAAGGTGAGGTGTGACATTTCTAGGGTCGACCTTTTCCAACCCCACTCCTTCTTATGGGAAGGCAGCATCGCTGTCATGCTGGTTGTCTGAGGGAAACACCTTACTGCCGTCACACCCCTCTACAGTCATTAGTACGACTTCGCCCTCAGACCTTGAGTTGCTGCTTTTAGTCTTACCGTTCACCAATCGACCTGTCTGGCATGGTAGAATCTACAGGAATATATGTTCCAGCCAATATAGCTCAGTTGGCTCATCACGATAGGCAAGCTCGACCACCGCGTCAAGGTAGCAGCTTCGATCGGGAGTAAAATCCAGTAGCCATGATCTTAGAAACCACATGTTTCTTGACAAAATTTACGAAATGTTTCCTATAACATTGCATTGTTGACGAACTACTGATTTTTATGATTAGTGTCTCAAGTAAACTGTAGTGGATGTGCTTCGATAACTAATCACTCTTGTATCGTTACCATATAATCTTTAACGGTGGTTGAAATCAGAAATTAAAAAGAAACAGCAACTACAGTTTATTTGGCTTTTAATTCGGATCACATAGCAGAGAGGCAAGACGAATGAGTCAGTGAACTGAGATTGCAGTAGTAGTAGAGAGTGTAAATGTATATATATATATATATATATATATATATATATATATATATATATATATATATATATATATATATATATATATATATATAGGGAAATGAATGAGTCATCCAATAGACTAAGCAGCTAATAATGAAGCTAGCAGAATGAATATATGAGTAGGCGCTAAACATTGTTCAAGCATACGTATTTCATACAAGCACAATAATAATAACAGTACAACAAGTTGTTATAACATGGATGACTTTGTCCATTAAATAGGTTAACAAAAGACCTTGACTGAGTTAAATGAGAATAAATTCATTTGTATGTGAGTCACTTAATACCATGTATAATGATCCTATTTTAAGGATTGAAGAGGGGGATTGGTTATGAGTACAGTGATCTTGAATGGTGTTAGAGCTATAGGGGCGGTTATCACATCCCGGTTGCCCACACCGTGAAAGGGGTCTTCTGGGAGTACCTGAAAAAGAAAATTGAGTTAGTAGTGGTCTTAATGACCTGAGAGCTTGAACGCAGTGTCCAAGATACAGCTGTTTGAGGCCGGTCACACACGACTTTTTTGCAAGTGATTTTCGTTTTAGTTCCGCACTTGTTGAGTCCTTAGCGCTAGAGACGGATATCCATGGGATAAAGTGAGGTGGGTTTTTTTAGGGTTCACCTTTTTTGACTACTTGGTTGGCGTAAGCAATAGTTGTAAACTCTGGGTGACATGGTTTAGAATCGGTCACAATGGCGTCAGTGTATACACTTATTGTCTTTCCTTACACAGCTATGAGATTAAAATTACTTTATACCTTTCGTTTTACCAACTTATTCTTTCTTTTATATATTGCCGTCATTGAAGTAACTACTTCTATGAATTCGGTGTTCATCTTGTGCATTAGCAGCTTGAACTGACGCATCCAAATGCCTGGTCCTACGTTGTAGCTGACTGACTGACTGATTTTAAAGATTATTAGGACAGTATCACATAAAAATGCACTATGACCAATGAATTTGATAACATTATTTACGAACTGCCAGTATGTTTCAATGAAATAAACTTTTCTCTGAATATCTGCATGAGATGTATGAATTACAAACATCGAGGTGATAAACACTGTTCCAATGACACCAGCAAACTAGAATTTATCTTACAGCTAGTGTTTCCGTCATGGTTAGAAATACCTTTTAATCATTGACAATATCATGACTAATGAATTAGTACATTTTATAACTGAAACAGTAACTTAGCAGTAAGGACATGCTAAGCAAAGTGTTCCAAGTTGGACGCCTTCAAAAATAGTATGAATAAGATTCTATTCTATTCTTATCTTCACAGTCATCATCTATTCAGTGATACTTTGCTCTAATTCAAGGTGGTTTATTTGATTCAATAAATCATTGAGGATGAAGAATTCTTTTATTAATTGGTGAAAAAAACTCTTAGTATAAACTTTAAAATATACTCCCTTTCGATCTCACTAAAACTGAAGTAATCTAATCTACTATGTTTTGTGAATAAACAAATAAATAGATCGAATTAATACCATAGAAATTTAATAGTTGAGATCATCAGTCAATTAAAGCTAGACCACCATAGAAAACCTAGAAGCGCTAGACGACCGTCTCATGAGATTCGAACCCAGGACCTGTCGGTCTCGCATGCGAGCACTTAACCCCCAGACCACTGAGCTGAAATTGAGCGACAAATCCATCATTGTTTTCAGTAAGTTACTATCTCACAACAGACCTGGTTGCACTCCACTGGTCACTGCTTCTCACTAGAATTCCAGGATATATATATATCTTGAAGCCAGTCACTAGTGAGCATATATTGATTAATATCAGAAGGGGTTTTGAGGATATTATAGTAATCACCATTTGGTGAAAAAAGTAAGTTTGGAATTAATTCAACTATTCTATCATGATAAAGACAAACAAACGATTCTATGTATAGAATCACTTACTTGAATTGTTAATTGAACAGTATTGAATGTTCATATTATCCATTTTTCTTTTGGTTAATTTTTCTTTATCAAAATTAAACGGTTTATTTTGTAATTTATATTCTTTAATTTTTTGTTTGTCTATTTTATGATCAGTTCGATTGGATTGCAGTTTTTTGTTTAACATATCTTGAGAAGATGTATTACAACTTAATTGTTCTGTTTTCATGGGATTTTCTTTAAAAAGACTATTATGATTATTTGAATGACAATTTTTCATTTGATTTGAAGCTGAATTTTTCTTTGACATTTGTATGATAGAATGTGTGTGATGATAATTTTTAGTTTTATATTGTTCATTATGTTTATTTTTTGGAATAAGATTTTCTTTACTTTGTTGTTTATATGATTGTGCATTTAACATTGTACAGTTTGAAGTTTGTTTTGTAGGATAAGGATATGTATAAACTTTATTATGAGTGAAATTAATGTCCCTACATGGTCTAGATGTTTTCAGTGATGCTGATTGAATAGGTCTATGGAAAGATTTCAACAATACTGAAGAGGAAGATGATGAAGTAAGAGATAAAGATGAATTTCTACGAACAACTTTTGTTGATAATTCTTCAGAAACTTCATAACCACTTGTATCTTGATCAGTTATATCATTTTCATTTTCATCAAGAAAAATTCTCAATTCATCCAAATCATTGTTATCATTGTATACAATACATGATGTTGAAGATAATGATGACAATGTATTGGATAATTTATCATTTTGATACTGTTGATGATGATTATCATTGTTGAAATTATTTTGATGATTTTCCAAAGTATACATAAGTCTATATTTCACTTTTAGTTAATGCTGATAAGATTGATATTAGTTATGGTAATTATACTAATACTGATAGTTGATTATAATTAAAGAAATAATCAGTATTGTTAGTTCAGCTGTAATTTATTTCATTGTATTGATAGATCGTTACAAATCTGCTAACTCGTACTTATCATTAATCCGTTTTATGTATTATACTAAAATACAAGTTTTAATGAATCATTATAATAAATATAATTTAATTGAGTAGTTTATATTGTTATTACATTTTAGTTTTTAAATACGAAATATTAATTAAACAAACAGATAAGTAAAATATAAAATGAAGACTTGGTTTACTTAGTAGTTAACAAAAGCAACAACTGAAAACATAGTTAAGCAAAGATGGATAGGGGTTGACAGTGAAATCCAGGACAAACTGCGTTTCGTCTTATTTGAGACTCCTCAGCTGGATGTACCTGCATCACATAGTTGTTGCTCACCCTGAGTTCATGCGACTGAAGATTCCCAAATAGGACTAAACGTGTGTCAAACTGGATTCCACTGCTAGCCACTATCCATTCATGTTTATAATGCTTGTAAATTAAAGTAATATCGAGGCAATACACATATGCCAAAAAGAGACTGATCAATTGCAGTCTTAAATATTAATGGAAAGATTCAAGTAAACACCACCAAGTGAATTTGGAAACATAATCTTTATCATATAAAAAAACAACATTCATATAGTATGAACTGGGTATGTATACGTTGAATGATGGTTTTCTTTTATTGACTGTCAAACAACAAGTTTAATGACAAGTTTTTACATAATGAATATCATACAACGTGAAACTAATGAAATTTGGAAATTTTCCATGATTTTGATTATATGAACATTACTGAATAAGAACCATAATTTATTTAGTTAAACACGTAAATACTGGTACAAGGAAGCACTAAATAAATATGCGCCATATAAATCATTCGATTTATGTGAGGGCTGGGATACTTCCCGAGTGCCCAAACCCAAGCAGGTGATTTTCTGAAGGGAACCCCAATCGAGCCATTGACCTAAAGGTCTCATCCACAAGGTGTGGGAGATGATAGCCGCTGACCAACGATTGGTTCACACGCCATTTATTCCTTCAGGATCCTAGAGCCCATGTGCACCATTGGTTTGAAATCAGTGTTTTCCGATTTCCTCAGGTGTATCCTACATATTCACTAACCCGGTGAAGCGTCGGACATTCGCTTTTCATTTTCCCACTTTCGTAAACAACAGTAGTGCCGCGACAAGGTAGTGAGCAAGACTTGTGTGGCAGTGGTCGTATGCATGTGGCCACTTGAGAGCATTTGGAGAGGGAAAGCTAATTCTTACCATTCTCAGCCGAAACAAGGGCATTCGGGGGTTTCTCGTCGCTAGCAGGATTTGAACTTACACGGGGAAACCCCATTGGATTTCTAGTCCAACGCCTTAACCACCTGGTCATTGCGACACTTAAATTTTAGAGCCGGCGAGTAAGAAACGGTCACTTCTGATAACCAAGTGAAATTAAACAGTCTCGATTTAACAACAAATTGCTACATAACGAAATTATGTCAATTAATTGATGCTAAACAGTAAGATTTATAGTTTTTCTAGTTTAATAGATCATCGACGAGGTATCTCATTATTCCATGTACTTGATATTTTGATGTATTCAGTAAGCTTTAATGTGAAGTTTGAAATTCTGATTAAAAGTATTTATATTTTTGATGGCTAATCTATTTTACTACCAAAGAAACTCATATTATTTCGACAACTTTAGCATAATTTCATTTCAGTATGGTGAAGATGTGGTATGATAATTTGAACCGATGTGTGTATCGGCCAGACTATTTATTGCACGTACCTGATGACTGAATGATTTTAAAAAGCTTATTTTTTAGCTGATTACCATTGAGGTTTATTGGGACATATTCCCAACAATAAGCGTAACGCAAATTTCTTTTACTGATATATTGATTTCTTCTTTCTAAATTTTGCATGACTTCGAATGTTATAATACATTCTCTGCTTAGTATTTCATTTTTGTTAGTTTCAATTTCCAAAATCCGATTTTTATTGTACTATCGCTGTCATTGCTAACATACTTTTAAAAATGAATTAAAAATTAACATATCATTTCGTATGGTTGCCTACAGTTCGTAATAGTTTGTTCTGTTTAAGTACTAAAACGAGTTAGTAAAAATGTCCAGCTGGAGCCCCTCTACGGCTATTACTGATCCCAAGCCGGATAAAATAGAACGGTTAGGCATGGGGTTAGCGACTTCATTCCGTAGAAACCTAACTCGCTAAAAAAACCCTAAATAGAAGAAATAACTCAAATTAATTTTTAGTCGTTCTTTTGAAATATTGAAATGCTGAAAAACGTTAAACACATTGGATTTATTTAAAATTAATTTCAATATACTTTATCCTCATTTCCTCTGAAGATAGTCAATATCATACAGAATTCCAATGATGGATTACACTACAAAATCGGTGCATGGACGACAGTTGACAAACTCGTTCGAAATAAAGACCGGTGTCAGGCAATGTTGCTTACTCTGACCCTTTCTCTTTCTCCTGGTGATCGACTGGATCATGTAAACGTCAACATCTGAAGAGAAGCATGGGATAGAGTGGACATCTAGGATGCAGTTGGACGATCAAGGATTCGCAGATGATCTGGCCCTCCTATAGCACACATAACAACAAATGCGGGAGTAGACGACCAGTGTGGCAGCAGCAGGTCTCAATATACACAACTGGAAGAGCAAAATTCTCCGATACAACGCAGAATGCACCAATCCAATCACAATTGACGGAGAATATTTGGAAGATTTTGAAACCTTTACATATTTGGGCAGCATCATTCATGAACAGGGTGGATCTGATGCAGATGTGAAGGCGCGGATCGGCAAAGCAAGAGCAGCATATTTACAACTGAGGAACATCTGGAACTCAAAGTAACTGTCAACCAACACCAAGGTCAGGAATTTCTATACAAATGTCAAAACAGTTCTACTGTATGGGGCGGAAACCTGAAGAACTACGAAAGCCATCATCCAGAACATACAAGTGTTTATTAACAGCAGTCTATGCAAAATACTTCGAATCCGTTGGTCAGACAATATCAGCAACAACCTACTGTGGGAGAGAACAAGCCAGATCCCAGCGGAGGAAGAAATCAGAAAGAACGGCAGGATGTGGATCGGACACACATTGAGGAAAGCACCAAACTGTGTCACAAGGTAAGCCCTCACTTGGAATCCTCAAGGCCAAAGGAAAAGAGGGAGACCAAAGAACACATTACGGCGAGAAATGGAGACAGACATGAGAAAAATGAGCAAAAATTGGATAGAACTAGAAAGGAAGGCCCAGGACAGAGCGAGTTGGAGAATGCTGGTCGGCGGCCTATGCTCCATTAGGAGTAACAGGTGTAAGCAAAGTAAAGTAAAAGTTACCCTCATTTGTAAAGAAAGCATATTCTTATATAGAGGCTAATTTCCCCTATATCTGACTCCAATAAATAGTATTCCGTTAACTGAGTATTTAATACAGGCTAAATCTCCTAGTAGAATTATGGATTCACTCGAGATTATTCACAAACCTGAACACCAGTTATAGAGATAGTTTATTGTTAAAGATTGGTAAAATCCACAAGCGTAGACGAAGCAAGGACACAGGGAAACCAAGAGTGTGTGTGAGTGTGTGTAAGTGCTAAAAATCCATATATATTTATGATTGTTAATCAAGTGTGGATAAATTATTGATTGTCTGTGTATTACGAACAATCGGAGAATAGATAAAAAAATTGACATGTGCTTAATCAGACTCACAAAGAAAATTACTTGGTGGATCAAGTGTTCAAATTACAGTGAGCAGATAAATAATAATACACTAGTTGAATTGGCTTACTACACTTACATTAATTATATCAGATAGTTCAACTTGACTAAATAGTTTAATACGTATCTTTTATTTAAAATGATTGATGTAGTTATTTTAATTACCTAAATTAATGGTTGCTCTGTTTGTCAGACAAGACATCCTCGTGACATCCGAAGGATTTTGGTTTTCATCATATGTCATAACTCTTCTAAATGAAGACCTAACTTTCAGGATAGAGTTTAAAAGGTTCGAATTACTTTTTCTCGTTAACGTTTTTTAGTGAGTTTGTTTTCTACGGGATGGGGTAGCTAATCTCACGTTCAACCCTCTTTTTTATCCGGGTTTGGAACTGGCAGTAGCCTCAGAGGGGCTCCAGGTGGAGCATATTGAGCACATCGAATAAACGTACGGCTAGATATTCATTCTTTGTCACCGAACAAAGCTCAGATTCGACTGATTAAATTATCTTAAAAAAACTAACCAAGTTGATAAGATCAGCTGATGAAGAGATGAAATATAACTAAAATATCAGATAGATTTTAACCAACATTGCGTCATCATTAACAAACTAATGTAGATATGTATATATTCTAACAGAAATGCCAAAACATTTACATGCATGAAACTTATCAAAAGTAAAAATACTAATAATTATGTAATATCTTAATTGAGTAGAAATTTAAGTTTCTGACGTTTTTCAGATTAGTTTAACGCAAACTAATTAAAAAAAAAAGAATATTTATTTCAATAAGAAACAATAGCAAATCTGATCTCGTTAATGTCATGTCAGTTCGGTCAAAGTGATATGGGATATATCTATACATTTGTTCAAGTCAGTTTGTATGACTTACATTATTCGGGAAAACGTCAGAATTTCGTTTATTGTTTATTCATTGGCATATTACAAATTTATCACTGTTTGTATGAATTAAACTCGAAATAACTTGTGGTCTGTGTGTCCTGTTAATGTATAATCTAATGATACAGATAAATAGAGAAACAGTGAATTATCGATCGGATCAATGATATATAAAACTCGTACGAGCAGTCTAGAGTACTTATCGGTCCTGCTTCCTCACTAGCCATACCTGTTGAGTCCAGAACACCAATCTGAGCCTCTGCAATATGAATTATGTATTTCAAACATATTGAGTTTATATATTAGCCAAACAGACCATATCGTACCATGAAATCGGAAACAAGATTCGTACAAGATTTAGCCAATAGTGGCTGTGAGTATGGAAGCCAGAAATTAATAGACAGGGTTTAACTGAAGAACGGTAAATCGTAGAATAACAT